TAGCAGCAATAAGAGAAATCTCAGCCCTGGGCTGGAGCAGACTGCTGTTCCTCCAGGAATTTCCTGCTGACAAGCCCTTGAGCTTTAGCCACAGGAAAAGGTGCACCTGGAGCTGGGAATCACACGACATGTCCCTTTGTTCTGGGAGGTTCAGTGGGACAAGCCAAAGTGACATGCAAACAAGGCTGTCAGCTCTGTAGATACCTGTGTGACAGCCACTCCTGTCCCTTCATAGCTACACATCCCAAGAACTGATCCATATGGAGATCCATAGGGAAAAAGGGCTTGGCATGGGCAAATACAGCCCCTGCAGCTGCAAAGACTTGGCTTTGGCACATCTCAGCACCCCTCAGGCCTCAGAGCAGAAGGGCAGGAGATCTGCTCCTCCAGCAGGGGCAGAAAAAGGAGCCAGTGGAATACAGGTACATCCAGATTTCCCCATCATTTCTGCCCACCAGCTGAGCCAGGAACACTCAGGCTGTAAGAACCGGCTTTTTCAGCTTACACCTCCCAAAACTGCACCGCGCTGGCTGCCAAGCGTGGCAACACCTTGGGTTTCTGTACTGCTTCATGAGCCAGGAGAGTTCCAGCAGCCCCACCGCCCCGGCAGCCCCCCGAGGCATCGCCCCCAGCTTCACGGAGCAAAAAATCTCCCAAAGGACTCGAGGCCGTGGTTTTCTTACCGAGGCCGACGCCGCACACGACGGCAGCGGCGATGAGCGACCCGGCCGAGGAGCCGTAGACCTTGCAGGCGGACTTGAGGAGCTCAGGAGCCAACTCCAGCAGGGACTGCACCACCCCAACCTGGTACAGGGCCAGGAAGCCACTGCCCGAAAAGGAGAGCGAGAAAGGGGTGCTGGAAGCCCGGAGATCCTCCACAGCCATCTCGGGATCAAAGCAGCGGATCTGACTTGAGGTCTTGGGTTGTTCTTTTTCACCAGGTGAACCTCAAGCTCTCTTCTCCTCTGCTGCCTCCAGGCTCATCTCTGGCTGCAGAGGAGTCCAGAAGACGGATTTTCTGCCTCCTTTTATGACAGCTCCCCGAGGCGTTGAGATTCGCGAGCTATTTTAATTGCTGCCTGTGCTAAAAACAGAAATTTTCCCCTGATCAAAACAGCTCTTATAATCCTCAACCACAGTCAGCTTGGATGCTCAGGGCTGAATCAGGGCTCCCCTCTCATGCCAACAGGTCTGCAGTGCCCCGGGAGCCCTCCCAGAGACAGTCCTGGTGTTACTGTTCTCGTCACACAGAAACGTCCCTGCAAAAATTCCTCTTTGCTTCATGCTTTCTTCATCAAGGAGTGTTTTCCTAAATTGGATTCTCCATCAATCCCAGCTTAGGCACAGCTCAGTACTGAGTGAGTAAAGGCTTGTATAAGACACTTAAAGCCAGAGGGTGTTACACAAGGGGTGGATGCAGGGCGTTACAATGGGTTAGGTTTGGAAATATTCCTTGTATTTGCTCCCTGTTGGAAGGGTTTTGCCCTTGCCTGACCCTTGGGTATTGTTTGCATGGGGCAAAAACCAAAGACGTGGATTTGTTTTTCTCTCCCCTCTCAATAAAGCCCTACAGCAGCACCACATTACCCAAACTTGTGGTTATTGAACCAGAATCAAATCAATCCACTGCCTTTGGACTGTCTGCATTGCCTGGGGGATAGTTACAAAACCAGGCAGAAATGCAGATTTCTTCTCTTTTTTTAATGATTTCTTAGTGATCCAATGCTGCTGCCAACAAACAGAACAAAAATTGCCATTTTAACAGATGTATTTATTAAGTATTGGTAAATATTATGTCGTTTCTGTTGTCCAAATCCATAGAGCTGCACACTGAGAGGAAACATTCCATGGGTTAGAATTAGGGCTGTGTGTACAACACATGGGCATGTGGGTAAGGAACAAGGCTCTCCTTCCCTGGCCAGGACAGTACAGGGAACCACAGCATGGTCCCAGCTTCCTGATACCACCTCTGCAGTTTTGTTTCACCCCAGATTTTCACACATTTTTCCTTGCCTTCCCCAGCCATGACCGTGTCCCCAAGACAGGAACTGGAGCAGACACGCTGACATGCAAAATGTCCCTGGGCTGAGTTGTCACCAGGAGCTGCTGTCAGCAGGTGGACATTGCCTGGAACCCCCAAGGAAATGTCACAGCATGGCCAGGGCTGGTCTCTGGTGCTCTCTGGATGTCAGGACACACAGGAGGAGTTTGCCAGCTCCAAGATATATTTAATAATGAATGGGATTATCCTGGAGGTGAACAACTGCCTGAATTAGGGCTTTTAGATGCACAGCCTTACTGGAGCCCCTAATTTCTTGTCTTTCTGGTGTCTGATGTTTCTCATGATCCCCTCGCTGGGTGAGTCTCCCACACACCCCAGCCTCTCCACCACCCTGGGAGTTATCAAAGCTCTCATCTGTGTGATTCATGCCACTGGCTCCTCCAGCCTTTGGGAAAGCAAATCCCTTCATTTAAAGGATTTTCTTCCAGTTCATGAAGGACAAAACTATCACCTGTTGCTGTGACTGGTCCAGACATGCCAGGGCACTGGAAGTGCAGAGGGTTTATGTGTTGGAATGAGCTGTTCCCATGTTCCCTGTGCGTTGTTCCTATTGTTTGCCTCAGGCCCCCAGGGGCTCCAGCAGGCTCTGGATGAAGAGGTGTAGGATGCTCCTGCTTCGCTCAGCCCTTGCACCTCCTCAGCCCAGCCCTGACTGCCAGAATGTGGGAAAGATATAAATGATCCCATGGCAGCTGTGGGAACACACAGCTCTATCCTGCACTCAGTTACGGGGGCTCTCCAGGGGGCAGATTGGCCAAGGTGCCGGATCTCCCCTGCACCCTCCCCAGCTGCCAACACCACAGCCCGGGACAGCATCCAGGAGGCATCATCCTGCCTGGCTCGGTTCCATGCTCCTGTGAGATGAAACCTTGTCATCATCCTCTTAGTGACAGCAAATTTTGCATTAATTGGCTCATCAAGTGCCGGGCTGATTTTCTAAGCTGCCCTCCCCCGGGCACTCCAAAGCAGGATTAGTGGGGACTGACGACTTTGGAGACGCAGGATTCCCTCAGCAGCCTGGCACAGTTTGGGGAGAAAGCCCCCAGCTCCCATGAGCACTGGGTGGGCTGGGGGCTGTGCAGGGTTGAGTTTTACCCGGGCAGGATCACAGCCCAGATGGCCGGTGTCCGTGATCCAGGGATTTTCGTGCGAGGCGATTGTCTTCGCTGTGTGAAGCCACAACAGGGTGTTTAGGGAAGGATGAAGGTAATGCTGAGAGCTGGAAACGGCTCAAACCCCCAGGACTAAGAACTTGCCCTTCTTTAAAACCTTCTCAATATCTTCAGTGGCCACAGGCGATCAAGTCCCAATTTTATAACCAGGAGATTGATCCAAGGTGTTGGAATTTCTTACGGGAAGGGACCTGGGCTCCAAAAGCCACCAGTCCTGGGGTGCTTCACTCAGGCAGCTGTGGCTGCTCCCAATCTCATCCCACCATGCCCAGCTGGAGCAGCATCCCCACACACTGGGTTGGGATTTTTTGGGAGCAGAAGCCTCTTGTGCAAGGGGCTGGGCAAGTTTGGCTCCTTGTTCCCCCAGCACAGCTGCCCCAATGGGTGGGAAAAGGTCCAGTGAGAGAGAAGGAGAGTGTCTGGTGCAGCTGTGGTACTGGCAATAGCACAGGAGAAGGGAATGGGAGTTTTCCTCTCTGATGTTTCACCTGGCAGGTGCATCCCACATGCTGATGGAAGATGATGTCCTCTGGGACAGAGGATATTTGACTTTCCTCTAGGAAGTCAGTGAGGAGACAGAGCCCTTTTCTGCTCCATGCAAATCCCAACCCATCCCTGGCACTGCACGAGCTCAGATGCAAAACAAACTAGGGCATCCTGTGACCCTCTAACCACATCCTGAGCACCAGCTCACCCAGCCCTGGTCCCAGCCCAGCACAGCCCCACGGGCTCTGGGCAGGGAACAGGAATGTCAGGACTGTTGCAAACAGACGAGGGCGGTTTCAGTCTCTCCCACAGTAAAATCTCCTGGGCTGGTTCCCAGCCAAAAGACATCCCGGTGCTGACACTGCACATGTTGCCAGGGCCCAGGAGTGGGATTTAATGTTTTCCACACTCCTAATTACCCTAGGCTGAATTAGATGGAGCCCTGCAAGGCGTCCCTCCTCCCTCGGCAGCTGAAGACTCAATCCTGTCTCTGTCAAACACGGTCCTAAAGGCTTTGGGGATGTGGATCTGTCCTGTGCTTCTGTCCTGTGAGGGCTCTGCTTCCCCATTTGCATTAACTTTGGCTTTTACAAGGATCAAGAAGCTCAGATCCTCCAGGAAAGGAGGTGCTGGGCAGACCCGGGCTGTCACCAGTGGCCCGCGGAGGATTGTCCCACCCCAAATGTGGCAGTGACACAGACCCACGCGTTTGTTTGCCACCACCATCACCTTCAACCCACTAGAACCTCCCTCCTTCACAATGCAAACCCCAAAACTTCATCTCCTTCGCACCAGGCCGGGTCCAACCTTGTAGAGGGGATGCTCTTGCTGGTGCCACCACACCAAGCCCTGGCAAACCCCGCCCAGCCCCAAGCTGCCTTAATCCATGGCCCTACTTAGGGGTCTGGGCAAAGATTAGCTGGAAGCATTCCCAGTGATTAGGGTTTAAATCGCTTTGGCATTTCACATCTTCTTACAGCTCATAGGTGAGACCCCAGCAGCCGTAAATCCCCTCAGTCCTCAGGGATGTTACAGCTCCTGCACCACTGGGGAATGAGCTTTACCCAGTTCTTGGTGTCAGATCAAGCTGCTCTGGGTAGTAAATCTCCTTCTGCTGGAAAGGGAAGGCCTATAAATTGTAAAAATGGCAGGACAACACTGTGCACCTGCTCTCAGAGACCCTTGTGCCACTTGTAATTTGGCTGGAAAGGATCAGCCCACAGCAGCTGGACCGAAGCAAACAGTATTCCATCTGTAACACAGCTCCCAGCAGACAAGCCTGGCTGGCATTTAGGTACCAATTTATTTGAGTTTTAGATTTTTTTTCAAACTGAATTCTTGGCTGGTAGCAGAAACTACAAAAATTATGTTGTACATTCACAAATACATTTAGAAAAGCAGGTAAATAAATACATGTGCAACAAAGAGCAACAGCCCCTGAGGTTCAACACAAGCACTTGGCAGGAGCTAAAATAGAAATACAGGGTGAAATGTGGGCTCTGATTTACAGACTCTTCACCCCCCCGCCAGGTGGGGTTCAAGCATTTCACACTGCTGGCACTGTCCTGAGGGTTTTCCTTAAAAGATTTTAAATCCCCTGTCCAGAAGTTCACCCCACATCCAGGGGGATCCCAGTCACCTCAGGGATTGTCCTCCCTCCATGAAATGTTTGTCCAGGCATCACAGGCCCCTCACAGCAGCCGCTCTCAGTCCGGGCTGTCACAGTGGTCTGTCCTCAGCTTTTCTCTCTTCTGCTGAAACAGAACGAAATATTCTTAGAATCATGGAATCCTTTGGATTGGAAGGCACCTTTAAAGGGACACCTTCCACTACCCCAGGTTGCTCCAAGCCCCGTCCAGCCTGTCCTTCCACAGATGGGCAGCCACAGCTTCCCGGGACACTTGTCCTGACTTGCTGCTGGGAGCTCAGCCCCAGGCTTATCCTCCTCCTTACCTGGAGAATTTTGCCGTAGGGCGCGAAGGAATCGTCCAGGTAGCGGGTGCCGAAGCCCATGATCCTGTTCACTGCCTGGCTGCAGATCCCCGCCACCGTGGCGGTGAGATGGACTGTGTAGGCAAACTGGATCTCCTGGGGGTTGACGTTGGGCCTGCTGGCTGTCAGCTCCCTCTGCACGTAGGCGTCGGCCAGGCTCTTGAAGGAGCTGTAGGACATGTCCCTGAAGAAGAGCTGCAGCCGTGCGTCCTCCCTCACCTGGGCGGGAGACAAGCGGGTGCACGTCGGGAACGGCTCCGTGTGCCGCCCCGAGCCTGCACCCCACACCAGGACAGCAGCTGCCAGGCACGATCACACCCAGGCAAGGAATTAAAAGATTCCGTTTCCTTGATTCTCCTGAGTGTTTTCCTGCCCCGGGGAAATCAGTGGTGTGGCTGTGTTTATTTTACAGCAGTGCAGAGCTTGGTCCAGATTCCCTCAGCCCCATCCAGCTGTCCACAGCTCCCTCACCTGCCTGTCCAGCTCATCTCCTGCACTCCTGAGCAGGGCAACAATTCTCATGATAGCTTCATCTGTGGAGAGAGACACCAGGTTATCTCCAGCCCTTTCTCCAAGCCTCACACATCCAGATGCTCTTTTTAGTCCACAGGGAAAATTCCTTGAACAAAGTTTATCCACCTCCATCCTTCCAAAACCCATTTTAGCCTATTGCCAAGTGCCTCGTTACCCTCAGCCAGCAAAAATACTCTCTAACCTCTGAATTTTGTCTTGTGTGGTCTAGTGGAAGGTGTCTCTGCCCATGGCAGAGGGGATGGATGAGGTGTTCTTTAAGAACCCTTTCCTACCCAAAAACCATTCTGGGATTCTGTGAATCTCCCTCTCCCCCAGTCAAACCCTGATGCTGTAAATCTCCCACAAAGTCTTCGTCCAGCTCTCAGGGTCACGAAAGCCCCGGCATCAGAACCGAAGCAGGGCTGGATCCCAAGCAGGCCCTGCAGAGGATAAGTCTCATGCCCATTTGTTTCAGGGCCAGCACTCACCGACCCCGTCGGGTCCGGGGGTCTGTGGGGGCTCCCCATGTCCTCCTGCTCCGTCCGCCCGGCTCTCGCTGCCCTGCACGATCAGCCCGATCTCCTGGGACACTTGTGTGTAGTATCCATCGGGCCGCTCCGCCTCTGCCGGGACACAAACGCACATCCAGACGTGAGGATGGGTTTTGTCAGCGTTGGCTGCCGGGGCCGGTGCCCACCCCAGTGCCCACCCCTGGTCAGCACATTCCAAAGGTGAAGGAAGCCACCGAGCAGCTGTGGCCTGCCCCGAATCTGCTGAGGCTCCCCAGAAATCCCCTGGGCAGTGTTTGGGCACAGGATGGGCCAGGCTGGGGATGGGCTGTGCCACGCCAGCTGCCTGCACCCGTCCCCAAGGCCAATCTCAAGCATCTTAGCGATGGCCCTAGAGTGGTTTAGGATCTAATCTCAGGTCTCAAATGCAGGTTTTAGTTAAACCACCATGACCCTTGGCTGCCAGAGGAGGAAAGCTCATGCTGCTGACAGTTGACTTGGGGTGACTGTGCTCAGGACATCCCTTCCTAGAGCCTGGGATTGGGATTGGGATTGTCTCCAAAACCTACCCCAGCCTGCAGAAAACCCTGGGAGGGGGTTAGAAACAGGCACTAAACACCACGGCTTTCCCCAGGGAAGCCCAGCAGGGCCCTGCTGGCAGCAGATGTGGGTCAGGGTTGGGGTGGGGTCCCACCTGGCTGGGCTGGCGCCAGGACGTGCCGTAGGGGGAGGCAGCTGGGGCGCTTGCTCCGTGCCCCGGATCCCGGCTCTGCCCTCTCCTCCTCCCCGTGCTTCTTCAGGGAGAAAACCTTCTTGAGGCTGGGTTTCTTCTTCAGGGCTCTGCCCAACGCTGGGGACGTGTTTGAGTCTACTCTGTGCTTTCTGGCTCCTTCTGGTTTGGAGCCCTGAGGAGCTTTGACATCTTTCTCCTTTGCTTTTTGCCCTGTGTTTTCCTTCTGGTCCTCAGGGCTCTTCTTGAAGAAGAGATTTAAGAAACCTTTCAGCCAGCCTTGTTTTGAACCTGAGTGCTGTGTTTTGCCCTGGGAAGAGTTTTTTGTGCTTTTTTTCTTATCCTTCAGCCCCTCTGTAGGCACCTCCTGGGGAGCTTTGCTGCCGTCATCCAAAGCCTCCTCTGGGCCTGGTGTTTTGAGTCTCTCCTCCTGGTCCTTCCTAGGGCTGGGTGTGACACATGGGTACGTGCAGAAATCACTTTCTGACCGTTGTAGCCTGTCCATTTTCCTCCCTCGCCCTCCACCTTTCTCCTGAAGGGTTTTTTTGGCCACCAGTGAGTTTTCATGGCAGCTCAGTGAGCGCTTGACATAAATCTCCAGCACTTTCTTGGCCTCTCGCCTGTCCAGAGAGAGGATCTTGCCCGACAGCTGCCTCCCCACATCCCACCGAGGCATCTCCTCGGCCGGATCCCGCGTGTTGCTGTGGAGAGAAACAGCATTTTCAGTCTGGTTTTTGCCTTCCCCTGGCCACTGCACAGCAGGGCTGGGCCGGATGGAAACCTCCCCCATGCTGGCACCCAGGGGTGCTGTGGGTGTCTGGGGTTGTTTGTGCTCCTGGTTAATGATCAGTCCGTTTTATAGCCGTTATCTGAGCGCTCCCGATGCAGACGACCCACGCGGGGTTTTACAACCACAGACTCGTTGATAAAGGAACTGAAACTGTGGAGAGGGGGGAGATGGGCTGGGCATATCCTGGAGGAGGAGCCTGGTCGTCACACAGGGGGTTTTATACAGCAAGGGCAGCACCCAGATACCATGTTCCCACACTACGATGAAAAACAACACCCCAGTGAGCCACAGAACCCAGAATTAAGAGTATTTCCCCTTAGAGTATTGGCTGCTAAAAATCATTCCAGCCCCTGGAGAGGCCAAGGGATGTGGGCTCTTGCAAATGGCTTTGGTCACCTTGTGATGGCAGAGCCCTTCCGTGAGCTCCCGCCAGTGTGGGGCTGGGGAAGGAGCTTGGAGCACCAATCCCTGCCCTTCCACCACCCTTTCTCTCTACATTTACAAGCAAAATTCAACCAAAGACGCTGCTTTTGGAAAACCAAAGAGCCATGATGGTGTCTCAAGCTGGACTCCAAAACCAATTTCACCCTTCAAAGAACCAGACCCAAACCAGACTTCTCTCCCCTGAACAGCGCACGGGGAACCAGCACCAAAATCTGGCACGCTTGGCTGTACAAAACATTCCAGAGTTGGGAATCAGCCTCTGCTCAGAAGATTATCACCACAACACACAGCACAGATACCCACCCCACCTCAGCCTGCTTTTGGGATCAGAAAGGCAAGTTCCCTTCATCCAAGCCAACACCAAAGCCCAACAAACACTCACTAAAAAACCATTCCGCTAAACGCAATCACGGCAAAGCCACGACCCCCATCCTGCTTTGATTGATTCCAGTACACTGACCACAACATTGGTTATTTGCTGGTTTGGTTTTTACCTTTCCATCAGTATTTCTGTTCCTTTGGACATAGTTCAAGACGAGCTCCTGGGCGCCGAGGGATCGCAGGCTCTCCTGGGAGGTGCCTTTTTATACTCGAGCTGGTGGCTGAGTTAAGTCCTATTTTTAGCAGCCATTCAGGTAGGAGAGCAGCCAAGGTTTCCGCCTGGGATCCCCGCTATCACCGCCCTCGTGGTGGAGATGAATGGGCGTGAGTTTCACTGGAGGAGAAAACAATTTCCTTATGACAAGTAGAAGCAAAACAACATAAAATCACCTGTCACCTGGTGTAAGCACTGCCCTTTGAGACCAGCTATCTCAGGCAGCAGTCTGCCCTTGGGTTTGGTTTGGTTTGTTGTTTTGCACTGGGTGTGATTCCCAAAATGGGCTCTTCTGGGTTGTTCCTGTGAGGGGAAGTCACAGTTTTCTCGGATGAGCGGGGTTTCGGTGCAGGAAGGAGAGTGCCCTGTTCCCATCCCTGGAGCTCCCAGACGGCTCCTGTGGGAGCGCAGCCACTGCTGGACACGGCACTGTCAGGTTCTTTCACAACACTGGGCACAGCACCTGGAACCCACCCTGGGCTCCTTCAGACAGCCTGTGCTTCCACCCTAAAACATCAACCAGCTCTTGCCCCAGATCCTTCCCACTCCCGTAGCTCACGCTCAGCCTCACCCAGCGAGGGGAAATCTCCCACCAGGGAGATCTACCCAACCCAACACCCACAAACTGCACCCAGGCCAAGCAAATCTGACCCCAAAGCTCCGTTTGGCCCCAGTGCCCCCTCCCGTGGCTGTGGCATCCCCCGGCATGTGCTTCCCACTGTTCCCCATCGCTGCTTTGCCATCTGATGGCAAAATCCCGCACTGCAGCTCGCAGGGCTGGACCGGGCGGCAGCTGCAGACACACGGGCTTTGGAAAACCCACTTTGGAAAACCCACTTTGGAAAACCCACTTTGGAAAACCCTCTTTGGAAAACCGCCTTTGGAAAACCCCTCGGGAAGATTTCCGGAGCAGCAGCTCTGTTTTCAGCTGGAATGATGTTCAGCCAAGCTGTCTCCTGGATAAAAATTTTCCTGTTATGGAGCTCAGTTTGCAAGCAGAACACTTCAGGGCTGTTTTATTTCTCTTTCTTTAAACTCTCCATGCTGTAATTTCCTGTGACTGGGAGAGAACCAGACCACGTCCCTGCATTTCTCCTGAGCCCACATGCCTGAATCAGTCTGGTATTGATCAGGAATTACCTGGCTCCGATTTTCAGCACCCCATCTTACTGATAAATGGATGAGGAGCTTGCTGGCTGCTTCCCAGCTCTTGTCCACATCCTTCCACAAACAAGTCAATTCCAGAGGGTGAGGAGGAGTTTCACAATCTATTTTATTCCATAAAATGAAAAGCCACATCCATGGGGGTCAGTTTGGCCAGCTCCAGCTTGGAGATCTTTCTACTGGAGATTGCCCAAGGCTGAGTCCAAGCATCATTCCTGCTCATGATTCACCTGGAATCAGCATTGATGTACGACCTCTTTCAGACACAGCCAGAAGATGGGAAAGCCAAACTCCAGGAAAAATCTTCACATGAAATGTGATTCAGGACTGAGACTTTTATCCAAGTTCAGATCCCTTCTGGGATTTGGGACATGTTCAAACCTAATAGGAAAGAGGTACAAGAAAAAGATGCAGGAAACAGATAAACCAAAATCCCATTACCAGAGTGGGGGCAAGAGATCTGGAACCAAATTTTTCATCCACTTTTCTTATCAGTGCTGGGAGAGAAGGAGGAAGCTGGCAGGAAATGCAGTCCTGGGGCAGAGCACCCAGTGCTGGGGTTGTCATCTTCAGGCCAGCAATGCTGGGGGGAAAAAGCAGAACTAAACCCATGGGAACACAGTAGGGGATAAGCAGCTTCTGTGCCAGAAATTGCTTCAGACAGAAAAAACCCGAGAGAGAGGCATTCCCCACATGGAGCCACAAGGTGCAGAGGGCAACAACAGGTTCAGAAGGTGGGGGCCAAAGCACCTGAGTTCCTTGGGAAGACACAGGCTGAGACTGGACATGGGGAAAACTCTCCTCTGCAAGAGGCTGGGACAATCTCAAACACGTGTCCAGGGGGGTTGGGAATCACATCCCTTGGAGGTCTTCTAGGCTTGGCCAGCCAAAGCCACAGCCAACCTGCCCTGGTGTAGGAGGCCACAAAGTCCCTTGGAGCCAACAACCATCCACAAGCCATCAACCAGCCACAAGGGCATGAAAACACAGCAGCTGCAGATCTGATCCATGATGGTGGTGTGGAGGGAAGAATCTGAACCATGGCAGGGGTGTTGAGGGGAACACCTGGATCATGGCAGGGGTGTTGAGGGTAGCACCTGGATCATGGCAGGAGTGTTGAGGGGAACACCTGGACCATGGCAGGAGTGTTAAGGGCAGCCATTGCTCCCTGCCCCAGCCAACACATGGCATCAGTGGAAACCTCTCAGCCCAGTTCTGCAGCTCCTCTGATCCAAGAGGGTGGTGGGCACCAGCCCCCAAAGCAAATCCTCTTTTCCTCCAGCTCTGGGCGTGGTTTTAGCTGCTTCCCCCAGCAGATGAGCAATGTGCAATGCCCCGTCCCAAACACCTGCACATGTGGGGCTGCTAAAGGGTGGCTGATGCTCTTCAGGGAATGAAGCACCTGGAAACCTCTGGGAAAGCCCACATGAGGCACCTGTCTGTGTTTCACAGCCCCTGAGCTCCAGCCATGCCAAAAGTCACTGGCAGCTGTGTGCTGTCCCTCACACCCCACACCAAACTCCCTGGCACAAGCAGTGGTTATTCCATTGTTTACTGACAGGGATGGGTTCCTGTTCCAGGAAAGCTGCAGGTTTACAGCCCTCCTGCCTGTTTGTCACAGGGAAAGACAGGTATTTCTCCAGGAGGTACACAAAAGCTTCCAAGGAGCGTGGACAAAGCTCATCATTCCAACCCATCCTTGCAAAGGTGCCCTTGGATTGTCACCCCCCAGGACCCCTCTGGAGCTGCTCAGGGAGACACAAGGGGTGTTGAGGACTTTTGGCAGCTTCCCAGCCAGGAAAGGAAATCCCCAGCCAAGCCCAGAGTAATCTTTAGTCATCACAGGAAAAACAGGGAAGAGAGGTCACCTCACACACTCCCTGCGAGCACAGCACAAGAACCAGGGCCACCAGCTGTCACCTACTCCAACAAAAAAAAACCCAAGTGGAAGAAGCAGTGGGATCCTCAGGAGCCATCAGGGCTGGTTCTGTTGCAAAAAAGTGGAGTGGAAAGAGGAGATCAAGAAAAATGCACCCATGGGTGCATATCCCAGGAGTGGCACAGGGCCTGGATGTTACAGTTCCCAAGAAAGGAGATCTGCTGTCCCACCAAAGCTGAAGGATTTCACCCTGAGAAAGATTTGGTTTGGCTCTTCTCTGGAATAAAAAGCATTCTTTGTGGAGGGAAGGATGAGGTTTGGGGGCTTCACTGCACCTTCCTACTCTGGAGCATTCCCAGGCTGCAGCTTGCTGGGTGCTGGGTAAGCTTTAACCCCCTCCTCTCTTAGCAGGGATTGTGGCCTCCCTTCCTAGCCAGGATCTCCCCCAGGCTGTGACCTCACACTCCCTAGAGCTCCTCGTTTCCTTCTCCTCCACCACTCAAATTGTCAAGCACCTCTGTTCTGCCAATGAGCTGGTGAATTTTTTTGGAAGTGAATCTCTCAGCCGGTTTCCCAGAGATGTTGTACTGCTGAAACTTTGCCATCCAGCCACCACCCATCCCACCACTGTCCCTTCCTGCCTACTGCCCACTAGCATCTCCAGGCTGCAGCTGTTAGGTAGTTGTGCAGGACCAAGACCAGTTACAGCCAAAGGGACTGTAGTTTCAGGCTGCCAGGAGCCAGTTGTTGTGGAAATCTCATGGTGCAACCACGTGTTTGTGCTGTGCTCACCCATCAGCTGCTGAGCAGCTCCGACTGCTGACCTCTTGCTTAGGAGCCAAAAGATGTTGGGGATGAAATCTGGGTGCCCACAGGAGCTGGTTTTAAATGAGGAAAGTTTGGATTTCCCACATTCAGACCGTCAAACAGCACGAAGTGAGATTTTCAATCTTACAGTTAGCATTTTATTTCCTCTGCAGAAAGCAAAGTGAAAATAGCAGTGGGTATTTTCTGTTTTCATACACGCTCTGTTTCTGTTCACACAGACTCTGTTCACTTCAGGTATTCCTGCTTCAAACTCAAAGCAAATAATCACAAATCTGACCATGAGTGAGGTCATATTTGTTACTTTTCACATTATTTAATCACAAAATTAATTACAGAAGTTGTTACCTGGAGGGAAGGGAATTGAAGTGAATACCAGCTATGGGCAACCTTGGAGCCTGGAGCTTCAGCCAGGCCTGATCCAGGCAGGTATTTCAGCACACTCCTAACCTTAATCCCAGGAGCAACCTCACAGGAGACAGTGAGGTTCCAGCATGCACCATATTTGCAGTGCCAGTCCATGTTCAGGCTGGGGAAATGGCTCAGGTCCAGAGCAGGATGCTCACAGCTGGGGACAGCACTCACTGCCAAAGCAGAGCAGCAGATGCTCAGCCTGGAGCTTGTGCTCTGCTCAGCTCAGCACATCTCGCTGGAAGATCAGAGGGATCTTTTCCACAAGTTTAGACTTTAAAGACGAGCATCAAAATTTCAGAGCAAAAATATCACATTCCCTCCCGAAGGGCAGGAGAGGAACCAGCAGGAGAGCAGCCCACACATCCACCTGTGCTTTTGGGGCTGGGGGACAGCTTCCAGCTGTGTTTTGCTAATGAAGCCCCAGAGATCTCAGCTTTGATTCACAGCAGGGTTTGAAATCCAGGCCAGCTCTGTGGCCTTCTGTCCAGGAGAGGCAAGAGACACCAGCACTGCCCAGCACAGCATGAGTCTCTCTGCAATGCACTGAAGTGAAGTCGCCAAAGATTTATTGTGGTGAAACCTCCAGTGGGTCTTCCTTCAAATCTTCATGGTCCTCATTCTCTAGCTGCTCCAGTTTTCTGGATTTCTCATGGACAACCTCCCCAGGAGTCTTCAAAAACCTG